CCCAGACACCCCAGGTGTAGGAAGATCTAGAACTCAACTTTAAGCAGTTTAGAATTCAAATCTTGATCATTGTCTCCAATCACTTCACACAGAAAGAGAGGGGAGCAGGAAGAGGGAAAAGGGCATTAAGTGTAGAGAGCTAACAAGGAGGTCATACACGGTCTTTAGCAGTCCTTTGTATAGCATGAAGACACAGCAGAAACAATGAAAACCCCATTGTTTATGGGAGGTCTATGAAGGGAGAACCCAGAGGAGAGCCCACAATTGTCTCTATCATGGCAGAATGAAGCTTATTTGTGGACTTGCCCTCCTGGGCATACAACTTTGCTCCTGTCCAATCATCTGACACCTGCTTCGACATAGCTGATCTCATAAAAAGGAAGAGAATCTATGACATCATCATGCCCCTGGGGGAGCTCTCTATAAGTCAGGGAGGTCTCCTCACCCAAGTGTCTCTGTCCATCCATGATGAAGTGAACACCAGGCTGGCTTTGAAGGTCTCAGCTTCTGACTCTGTGAAATGCTGGTCTGTGGTAGACTTGAGCTTTCCAATAAAGGAGCTATTGACCCCAGGTGGCTACTGAGTACTTGAGATGTGGCTAATGCAACAGAAGAACTGCATTTTTACTTTTATTTAACTTCAAACACTGGTATTTGATTCTATTACTGAAAAGCTTTTAAATATGTTTGGGGCAACTGTGGCATATGAATCTGCTGTTTCAACTGTAAATTTTAAGAAATCTAATTACTCTTCAAGTATTTCCAATGAAAATTAAGTGTCTGAATTGGGATATGTCCTAAGTGTAAAATACAAGCCAGATTTTGAAGACTTAATACAGAAAAAGAATCTACAATACCTCATTGATAATTTTTATACTGACTACATATTAAAATGATAATATTTTTAACATGTTGGATTAAATAAAACATTATTAAAATTAATGGCTCATTATGTTTCTATTGGACAATGATAGACTAGACTACTCTAGACAACCCTCATACTTATAGCTTCTGTATTAAGTGTATGCTGAAGAGGATGGGAAGCCGAAGTGGAAATGCTCTTCAACAAGTTAAGAAAAAAAATGTTTTAAAGTACAAATGTGAAACAAGAACCTTCCTTAGCCACTTTTCTGCACACCTCTTCCAAGATCAAAGTATTTAAATAGTGTCTCTGCTCTCTGCACAGTAAAAACTTGGTGACTGCTTTGCTCTATCCTGGTCATCCCATGATTTTCTCCTTCAATTCTCAGAACTGTGCCATGTTCATCGGCAGTTAATGCTTGCACCAGCCCCAGGACTGAAATTAGTGGCCTGGCAGAAATGGCAACACTGAACTCCCCTTACCACACAATCTCACTCTCATGACTTTTCCTTTAAAAATCCATAAACCAATGTAGCCGTAATGCATAGATCATCCTCCTTCCTCCCTGAAGGATAGTGAATACCTTCTCTTCCTTCTTTCTTATTCCTCCAGTATCATGTCATTCTCCATTTCTTCCATTGATGTCCATTGAGCCCTTTCCTTGTGCCAGGCACTGTGTGCAGCATGGAAGTGAAGGACACACAGACTGCTTCAGACAGACATTTAGATAACTGTTAAATGCAGCACGATAAAGGAGAAATGCACTGTGCCCACAGTAGGAGGGATGCCTACCGGAAGTGTAATTACCAAGGAGCTGACCTTTGACTGTCCCTTCTTCCTTTGACTTCCCAAAGGAAGGCAAATAGGAGAGATGGCATTCCGGGCAGGGAGGCAGTAGGTGCGCGTGTATGGAGGCTGAGGCTGTGTGGCACCTTGGAAAATGAAAGCAGGTTGGTCTTTCTTGGGTATAAGAAATAAGGCATGGGAAGGAAGTAAAAGGAAGGTGAATAGCCAACATGAAGCCATTAAGTTCCCACTTATAAGATATCATGAAGAGGAGAGGAAGATCAGAGAATACCTCAAAACTATCAACAGGTTGTGTAAGTTTCTTCCTCCTCCTTCCAGAGCAGCTTACACATTACCAGCAAGCTAAGAAATCCTCATTCTCCCAGAGGTCATTATAGAACTTAGGAGTTTCCAATATGTCTGTGGCATCATCACCTCTGTCATTCAACAGCATTTATTGGGTACCTAGCATGAGCCAGTCACTTACCTACTATAATAAGGATGCAGAAGACCGGCTTCCTAACTAATTTCAGGAAGTCACAGTCGGTCCAGAGAGTATTAATAACAGGCAACACACAGGTAGTTTGGCAGGGATGCATAATTTTTTTTCCTTTCTTACTACTTGGGAATAAAAGGCATGTGTTTAAAATGTTTTGGGAGTAGAAATAACCTGCTCCCCAAATCAGTGTTTCCTATTCTCAGCCTTTTTCTCTGCAACTAATGACCTAAATTTGAATTGGAAAAAAAAAATAGTATTCACATGGACTTCATTCCCCAATCTTCCTGGTTTAAATCACTCTCTGGAGTGTTTCTCAGAACAGGCCATTATGATAACAAGTTAAGAGAATGTTGGTGGAGAAAAGAAGCTTAAGCTTAGGCAAAGTACCTTCCCCTTCATTTTAAAGTGGTAACATGTAAAAAACTGAATGCACTTGAACTCCATTGGATACAGAATGTATCAATGCTCTGATTTCACTTGTTTGAATATTGTTGAGTTTCCCATAGTTCCAAAATGACTTTAAAAATAGTATTCTTTCCTACACTATGGGTAAAAATATGCTATGGGTCTTAGATACACCACAGTTTTAAATATTATCCATGCAAGAGCTTCAGTGTGTCATAAAATTCAGTAGTTCATTGTTTCCTACCTCCGAATGGCTGCAGTTGTCATGAAAACATTGCCATGGCTCAAGCCCCAAATCAGAAGCCAACCCAAACCTGCCATGTGGTCGATTCTCCCTGCAAGTGCCTGCTGCTTTCCCCAAGCTCCCCCTCTGCCAGCTCCCTTCACCCAGCAGGTAAAAGGCAAGCAGTGGGCACCTTTGTCAGCCAGGCAGCTGGGCGACTGCAGGCAGCCAAAGGTCAAAGAATCATCTGTGGTAAGAGGACAATTTGCTGAACCCAAATCTAAAGTTCTTCCAGTCTAAACCCATCGGGCAGTGCTTAATGTCTAGAGCTACAGTAGCTAGCTTTGAGTTCAAATCTGTATTGTGGAATTTGAACCATTGAAACACCCATCACCACAAAAAACCTCTATGAATCTTGTTAACAAAACAGGAAGACCTTCTGCCAATAGCTGAGAAATAAATTCCTTCTTTCCTGCTGCTTGGACCACAGCATAATGAGGGCTCCCAAGCTCTCTTTGCAGTAATAAAACAAATGCCCAGGCTTTTCCTTTTGATGTGTTCCAGTTTAAAAGTTTAGAGTTGATGCCTTTTCATCCTTAATTTATCTTCCCTTGTAAATATTTCTGTACCCTTTCCAATATCTGAAGTCTACACATTTTCAAAGTATAATTCACTCCTTCTCCAATTTCAGTTGTATAACTTTATGTTATGGGTCAAATTTTGGGCTAAATAAACATACCTCAGGCTACAGCCCTGCAAATACCTCTGGCAGCAAATTAACTCAAACAAATGTTTTGGTTGGGTGGTGAGGTTGTTTTTTAATAATCTTTCTGATCTGCCTGGAGGTCCAAGGATAGCCTAGGTGAACTCCAAAAAGCTTTTCTAACTTTGTATTTTCTGCCACATTAATAGAAGGTTCTTGAAGTTGTTTAAGTGGTTGGTTTAAAATTCCACCACCAGAGGGTGCTACTTGTTTGCTTCTAAAATTCATTTCACTCTCAGATTTGAAAGATGGAGGCCCTGTCACCAAAGACTTGTCCCTGCAGCACCCAGTATTACCCAGGAAAGGTTTCCAGAAGACCTGTAGGCAACGCACTACTTCAAGGAATCAGACTTCACTTCGCTTTCGACATTACATGTTTGGAACCAAAATTGAAAATCTCTGTAGCTTGCACAAACCCAACTGCACTAATTTATATATTTGCTGTAAAGCAAGCAAGACATTCGAATCATTTTCCATCCTCATGACTTGTGTTCAGTATTTACTACATGATGACAATGAAACCCAAACTCTAACATTCTCTTCACCACACCAAAAAGTAAAATAACATAAAGTAAAAAGAGAATTTGCCTAGCTATGCCAATCATGCTGTTTTCCAACAATGTAAACAACTCTTACACACATATATCTCTTCTGCTTGAGTGTAATGTCTCATTTCTAGGGAGCATTTTATAAGCTTCAATTTCTCTTACTGCATTTTTTTTAATGACTGGGATTTGCATCTGACTTTTCCACGTGACGTTTTCTAGTATGCATGAAGAAAGCATGGAATTCACTTCCCATTCACCTATGTGGAGTGTGCATGGAAAACTTTTTTAAATTTTAGATTTTAAGTTTTAAATGGTAAGACACTCTAGTGTGTTGTCATCTGAATGGCAAAGCCAATCAGGGGTCAGCGAAGTTTTTCTATAAAGTTCCACACTGTAGTAAAGATTTCTGGCTATATGAGATGTAAGTTCTGTGTCACAGCTACTCAATCCTACCATAACAGCAAGAAAGTAGCCACAAAGACTGTAGACACCAATGACTGGTTGTGATTGTAGTTCAGAATACTTTATTTTGAGGAACAGGTGGTGTTCTGATACTTGCTGACTCCTGAAAATGATGAATCTTAACGTACACATTGTTTTTATTGATAAAATTCAGAAAAGTTTCTATAATGTCATCCTGTGATGATTTTGTCCTTCCTCATACAGTTGTGACAAAGCGTGACCTAAGTGATCCATTTTAAAGCTCATGGGTCCTTTGGAGGAGTACCACTAGGCTCCCTGTTCAGAACTGTCAAAATCTGAGCCAAAGGAGATCTGGACTTTCAGTGTGTCATCATGTTTATGTCTTATGAAGATCGGTTGTGGTAAAGATATAAAACCAAGAAGGATGTGACACCCTGGCAATTTCTCCTAGAGATAATATGGAAAGCAAACAAAAGACATAGCTTATTTACCTTCAGACTGATGTGTAGCCAGAGGAGTCTGGGTCTCCTTGGAGTACGACACAACTTCCCTGGGCAGAAAATCCACCTGGGTAACCTTCGACACACCCAGCCTGTGCAGTCTTCGTCTGTAAGTAACAAAGGACAAACACTTAAAAGAGGGAAGGTGTTCTTTGCAGAAAAGCTATCAGTAATAACGCACAGGACCAACACAAACCCCAACCTGCAGTTTCTCAGTGCAAGGGGCTTGGGCTGGACGCTGGGACACTTGGCTTCTTGGCCCACGTTGGCCCTAATTTTCTGGTGATGTCAGATAGGTCCCTCATGCTGACCCTCAGTTTTTCTATCTGTAAAACAAGGTCTTGGTCTGGCTCAGAGGAGACGCTTCCATTCTGAGCACCTTTGATTTTGCTTGTTTTAAATCAATAAAGGGAATTTTCATTGGTAATACAAGATCCTAGCCTCTTACATGAGATAGACAAAGGAAAAGCAGTGATTCTCAAGTCAGAAGAAAAGAAAGATGATTTCTTAATGGGGTAACATGTTTGCTATGATAGCATCGAGAGGAGCACATTCCAAGAGGGAGTATAACACTTCTCAGTTCTCCAGAAGAGGAAGTAACACAGATCAGCATGTGAATCTGTGTAAAGGCACATTGCTAAAGCATAGGTGGGTCAAGAGGGCACTGGGCTAAGAGTGATAGGATTTTAGCTTGGAATTCCCCAACTGTGACCATGTGCAAAACAATTTCTAAATATTTATGTCATGCTTCAAGTGTTTTCAGATGTTTCTAACATCTATCACGTCATCTGTTCTCACAACACCTCTAGGAGGCATATGGGAAGATGTTATCACCATCTCCATTTTATAGATGAGGAAAATGAAATGCAGTGTAAGAGACATGTCCAGGTATATAGAACTCATACATGGTTAAAGTACTGTTGGCCTGAATCCTGGTCCAGTGCCTTTTCCACCAAGCCAACTCCTACCTAGGGCTCTTAATGGTGGTTTCTGAGTTACTGCAGAAATCTGAAGTGCCTTCTGAGTCCCCCAGGCACATCCAAATCATGGCGACAGCAGAGTCTGGTGGTTAAGCACATAGACTCTAGCCCCCCCACTTACCAGCTGTGTGTGTGATCTTAAACAAGGTACCTAACCTCTCTGCACCTCAGTTTTGTCATCTATAAAATGGAGATATTACTAGTACTTGCTATTAGGATTGTTATGGGAACGTATATATATGACGCATATGATGCATATACTACATATGTATTATGTGCACATATGTACATAATTTCCACACTTATATCTTAAAACAGTTTCTGGAACATTATTTTTAACATATAGACTTAATATTAGGATGGGACATATTCTACTGTGTTTCTTAAAAATTTCCAGGCATAGAGTATGTATGCTTCTCTCTGACAGGTAATGAAAACTGAAATAAATGCATAGCTCAATAGCACATACAGGGAATCCTAGTTACACTCCCTAGTTCTCTATGGCCAGTAGAAGCACATTTTATTCATATTATTGTTTTTAATTATTACTAGCAGATGGCACAGACTCATTGTATTTTTGGTACTCCTAGCAATAATAAAATTTAAAAAATGCATGTCACAGCTGGAAATTTCCTTGTACAATCTCCCAAGCATTCTAGGAAAAAAGTTTTTCTTCTTTTCTAGGAGTTGCTCAAACAACTGAGGTGATTATCAAAGATGTGTACAGAGTAGATGTGCACAAAGTTCTCTAAACGCCGGTTAGAAAACAAGCCTGTTTGGCCATCTCTGAAGTGCCCATAACCAGGACCATAGTCGCAGCTGCACACAGGCCTGGGCCTCACAAGCCTCACTCACTCACAAGTCTGCACCGCAGAGTGTCAGGCTGGGTTCCCAGAACTCCGTGCAGCCTCCTCACACAGAGTTAGTGGAAAACACACAAAATAGACTAGAAACAAAGTTGCCAAACAAGGTAAAAGGCTCAAAGTTTCAAAGTAAGAAACTCAGGTATTAGTTTAACATCTTAAGTCAGAGAAGAATGTTTTCTTTCCTGAAATAGGTCTTTCTCCAAGCACTTGAAAAAACAAGCATGAATAGACACCCCAGGACTGCTTGGGGTAATGCCTCCTCCTGCTGTTTCATAGCCCAGGGCATCTTTCTGAGGTTGAGAGAGGTCAGGCTGCATCACACAAGCAAAGATATGGAAAGAAATGTATGCTCGTATGACAGCCCCACCTTTTCAAATGAAGCCACCCCTGGCATGAAGGGATCGCCCTGGATCCTAGACTTCTATGGGCATCTATGTGAGGCCCAGAGATCTCCATACTCCCACTGAAAGGTACCTACAGATTCAGGCAGGGATTCTAGGGTTTCTTGCTGATGGGACATAAGTCATAGGCCTATCTTGATGGGTAACCATCAGCAGGCTGGCATGTAATTTGATAATCCACCATGGCAAATCAAAACCAACTGATAAGACAGTATGGCATAATGGTCAAGTCATGGACTCATTCAGAAACAAATACGGCTTTGAATTCTATGCTTGGTCACTTATCAACCGAATGGTAGGTGAAAGCTTTGAACAAGTGACAAACCCTACTAAGCCTCAAGTTTCTTATCTGTAAAGTGGGTACACATCACTGAGTGGTTGTGAAGACAGAATGAAGCTAATACTTGCAAAGCACTTACTTCTGTGCCTGGCACATAGCAAGCAACTCCTGGCTTAAGCATCTCTACTTTTAATTTATTTATTTTTGACTGGTAATGCTTGTATTTGTTTTAAAAAACCAGAGAGGACAGATTTATGAATGCTCTATATTAAAGATTCTTTAAGACAGCAGATTTGAAGATGATCTCTTTCAATGAAGCATGAGAATCACCCACCAATGTCTTTATATGGGCACATGTATCCTTTTGGCTGCTTGGGAGACCCTATTTGCTTTTCCTTTAACTGAAAGCATTATCACCATGATACTTCTCAGCTGTCAAAACTTAGTCTGCATGAGTGACCTTATCTCACTAAACAAAATGTTTCCTTTTCTCAAAAACTATCAAAAAGTTTCCACCAGTCCCTCTCTGATGCTGTATTTGCAAACCCAGGGTCCCAACTCAACCCATGCCATCAAGAATAAATAAAAGCTAAGTTGTGATGAAGTGATTCTCCGCATGTGCCAATTGGTTGATACATCAATGAACTTGTCCTTTTCCCTTGAGGGTGATTTTGTCTCAAATGATTTATAATTTTAAAGCAACGGCTTATAATGCTTCTTATGGGGTAATGGATACATTACTGTGTCTTTCCCTGCAGTCTCCACATTGATTCAGCTGCATTTATAGCAAATGCTTTTATACTTTGTGGCTATTCTGCTGTTGCTTTAGTAACTGTGTAGTTATAATGCAGATAAACACTTTTTATATATTATCTTATTATATCCTCATTACAATTTTACATCCTATTCCAATTTTACACTTTAAAAAATTAAGGTTCAGCGATAGTAAGTCGTTTGCCCAAAATCACAAAGGTAGTAAGTGACAGACCCAGGCCTTTGGCTCTGTCAAACAGCAAGCTAAGGGCCATGTTCTTAGAAACTGTTCTCTGTTGACCCTGTCCTCTGATTTTTTTTCCTAATGCTTTATGAGCATCGCCTCACTGAGGCACACTCTTACAACCTAATATAGTAGAGGGCCAAGCACATGTGATCATTTTATAAGTATGAGAAAGGATTCCTGAGACACAGCGAGGCCTATAGTATTGGAGCATAATCGAAGGATCCTGTTTGCAAGGTGAGCACCACACAATGGTTCTCAGTCCTGGCTGGTTCAGACAGGCTGGCCAGTAGGTGGCACCCTTCCACAGCAAAGACCTTCCTCTTAGGTGTGTTCTCTGAGTCCTCCATTCTGAGTATTTCCTAGACCAGTCCTGGGGCCTGCATGTCAGTGGATCCAGAATCCATCCATTTATACAACTCTGTGATAGAGGCCTTATTCAACTTCCCTTTTTGTAGAAAAACATTTCTACAATTTTATCAGCTGAAAAAATTATTATAAAATGTTTAAGACATGAAGTACACAGTAGTTATTTCCTTTAAGTATGAACTTTGAGCATCATATATTTTTTATTTTTATTCAAGCCTTATCAATTCATATTTATTTTGTACAAGGATACAAATTAAACTGCTTAGCAAGAGAGGGGGAAAAAAAAACCAATGTAGCACTAATGTTACTATAATTCCTTTTCCTTCTAATCAGGCTGTAAATTCCATACTGGCTCTTCAGTTCTGGCTCTGGGATCACTTAGCTGCCATCCCACTCCCCCTCCTGCAAAGCTCATGCTTTCACCTACGTACAAGCAGATACTTCTGCTATCACCCCTCATACAGGCCACTGTATTCACCTCTTTTCATGTCTGATATGACTGCAAGCTTGCTTATTTATCCCTTACTGATTCATCTCTGTAGCTTGGGCCTCAGTTCAGTGTCAGGTACAGAGGAGGCACTAAATCAATGTTTGAGGAAGGAAAGGTGGGAAGAAGAGAAGACTAGAAAAGGGGAAAGGCAGAAGGCATCCTACAGAAGTGTAAACTGAGATTTTAATTGTCAAATGCCAGGTGGACATGGCATTATTATTAAATTATACTGTGTATTTTCACCTTGGTAGTTTATTCTAAAATAAGAGGCTTTAATAGAATTTTAAATACACCGAATTAAATGTGTATCATGTTCTAAATAATCATAAGAGAGCGAGTCAGTGTCACTTAAGAAGTACAATAAGGCTTCATATATTTAGATTCACTGTGACCACATTGAATAAATATAGAGGGAACCCAAACAGAAGTCCTAGAGCAGGGGCTCCCAAAGTGTGGTCCTTGACCAGCAGCCGCAGTACCGTTTGGGAACAGGTAAGAATGCAAATTCACAGGCCCCACCTGAAAACTACTGAACCAGAAACACTGCGGGCAGAGTCCAGTGATTCCAATGCCCATTAAAGCCTGAGTACCAGTGAGTTCGAAATACTGGACAGAGACTTCACCGTTTAACCATATTCACCTGGGGATCCCCGAATGTAGCCAATTCCTAGAGGATGAGGCTTTAGTCCCACTGAAAAGGGAGGAGAGGATGTCCCTGGACCAA